AAAGTTATTTTATCTGATGTGATAAAAATTAAAGCCGGCTTATACCCTTTCTCATTACTAAAAACCAGTAAGGAAAGTAGTACAGTCGGACTGGGCAGACTTTGGGTATATTCTACAAATGTTTCTTAACAGACGAATGTGGGAAAAACTGCAAAAACTTATTTTGACAAATTCGCGTAAATAATCGCGGCTTTCTTCGAATTAATTTTACATGAATTTATGCTTGTATTGTCAAATTCGCGAATCTGTGTGGAAATAGGTCCAAAATACATCGATACGCGAATAATATGCGTATTTTATCCAAAATTGATTGTGGAGGCACATCCACGGTTCTTAACCGATCCTTTTAAAATAGGTGTCCTTTTGCGTATTTTCAAAGGAGATTACTAAAATCGGATGCGCATAAAAATCGTATGCACGTTGCGTGATTTTTAGCCATTTTTAGGGTTTTTGCATAGTAAAGTGCATCGAGTGGCACACTTTGACCGCTAAATTAAACATTAATAATTATTGAAAGACATTGATTCGGTTTATACGAAAATCGCATGCGCATCAACTGATTTCAACTAATTCGCGAATTGCAAGCTTTTCAATATTGATCATTTTTATGTATTGCAAGTGCAATATATTTAATGACGTCGAAACTCTTATTAGATGAATCTGCCGATATTTAACAATCATCTAAAAGAATTTGCAGAAGAAAGCGTCGTATATTTTAGAAGATTAAGGCAAACCCGTATCCTCTTAATCATACTAAAAAAATCGAAAATTCAAAAAAGAAAAAAAAAAAATTGTTTTAATTCAAAAGTTAATTTATTTTATTTTCCGATGTCTTCATGTTTCTATTTGTTTTTCGCGACTATTAAACCGTATTTCAGTGTGATTTGACTAGTATGCAAAGAAAACAAGAATTTTGTAATTTCCCACATATGGGAGCTATTTCTAAATCTGAACCGATTTTCACGAAACTTGGCAGACATCATTCTAGACCTAATTCATTACGCTGTTCCAAATTTCGTGCAAATCAAAATATTTTCAGGAACTTTAGTGGACTATTTACCTAAAATCGGGCGAAGCTATATATGTGAGCTATATCTAAATCTAAACCGATTATCATGAAACTTAGCACACATTATAAAAGACGCAATTCAGTACGCTATGTTATAATTTAACATGGACAGACGGACATGCAAAAATCGACTCAGAAAGTGATTCTATGCATATTCTAAAAAGGAACCATGGGTCTATCTCGATTATTTTTGCCTGTTACAAACATATGCACAAAGACATAATACCCTGTACCAGAGTGTGGTGAAGGGTATAAAAATAAAAAAAAAATTATGTTAACAATTAGAGAAGTAGACGTTTACGATGGAGAGACGAAGTGGGAATGAAACTAATTAATCAATATAAGTATTTTTGGGATTTGGGATGAATTTCAGACGTTTCTTATAACTCACAAATTCGTCTACACTAAATTAAACCAAACATGACCTATGTGATTTTAGACCCAATTCGATCGCTAGGGCGAAATTTGACGACATTTTATCTCGGTTTAGACCGAAGCTAATACATGTGATTCTGCACTCCAGCGTGTTTACTATGGAAAATTTTCTGACAATCAGACAGTGGTTCTTTCTGCAGTATCTTTATATTGGAATATTCTTCAAAAACTTTTAAAGTAACGAAAATGACGATGGGTTTTTATATGGGAGCTATGCCAAATCATAAACCATTGACATTTTTCTACGGATATATTTTTCACTCTCCACTGTCCAAGATTTCACATACAATTTTTGACCCAAAATATTTCATACTTCAATAAATCCACAAAAGTTACATGTTATGCAATCACGGTATATGAATTCCGTTGAAATTTATTTCTTAAGCTTTAATAACAAACCTGGCTATATTATTTTGCTTAACAGGACCATTTGTATTGGCCGATTGTATATTTTTGTTTCCAACTCTGACGGTATTCTTTTTAGCAGGCTTTTTAACTGGTTTCTTTGCAGGCTTATTTGCTGGTTTCTTTGCTGGTTTCTTTGCGGGTTTCTTGGCTGGCTTTTTAGCTGGCTTCTTTGTTGGTTTCTTTGCTGGAGGTTTCTTATTGGGTGTTGCAGGTTTCTTTGTAGTTGGGGTATTACCAGCGGGAGGAGTGCCACCAGCGGGAGGAGTACCACCAGCAGGAGGAGTACCATCGGCAGGAGGAGTGCCATCGGCAGGTGGAGTACCACCGGCAGGAGGAGTACCATCAGCAGGAGGCGTACCATCAGCAGGAGGCGTACCATCGGCGGGAGGAGTGCCGTCGGCGGGAGGAGTGCCGTCGGCGGGAGGCGTGCCATCTGCAGGAGGAGTACCATCGGCAGGAGGAGTACCATCAGCGGGAGGAGTACCATCAGCAGGAGGAGTACCATCGGCAGGAGGAGTACCATCAGCCGGTGGAGTCCCATCAGCCGGTGGAGTAACCTCAGCAATTACTGCAACCAGAAGAATCGCGAATAACAAGAATTTCAGTAACTTCATGTTGTTGTGAACGATGAATACAATTTCGATAAATATTGTTCGATTTCGCGGTTATTTATATGATATTTGAGTATCTGCAACACATATGGTTTGCCATTTCACTTTTAAATGTGAAAGAACAAATATTGAATTTTATGATTCTAAATAAATATTAGATAATACGGTATTATTTTAATGATGGCGTAGTTAAAAAGATAAATAAATACACATTTGAAAATAAAAGTTAATGGCGGGTTTTTAATACAATTTGGTTTATTTATCAGTTCAATTGATTTGAAACACATTTTCGTTGCAAAACTATTCTTCTTTATGTTTTTTTTTCAGTATACCATTTTTTATTCCATTCATATTTACTTCAACATTCGGTGCAGTGCTCCTGTAATTTTTCGTTTCGGGCTCTTTTTGGTGAAAAACTCGTCAATATAGTAGTTGGCCCCAGTTCTGAGATAGCTGTCATAGCTGTAGTTTCCAACAAATGATCAATTTGGTTAATATCGGGTGACTGGGGTGGTGATCCAACTTCTGGCTATATTGCAAAACAGACTATTTGCAATTCTCAGTTCAATGCTATCTTTGTAAATGTTGAGACCTTTCTACACATTGCCACATATCTATCCCTTTAGACATTACTTGTTGTTGACCGTCAACAAAAGTTATTGTTTTGCGCCTTTTAATTGGGGATTTATTAATGAAAATTTAAAATATTCTCTTGCCGGTAATTAAATATTGCTGCATAATAAATATTGTACTGATTTTCGATTTTCCTGAGTTAGGACTACCAAAACTTCAAAATGTTGTAAATTCGTAAACTTGTTATGAAGCGAATAAGGTATCCGATTTAATTCGAGCATGTACGTAGTGCTATTTTTGCAAACCTCCGTCACACCCGAAAATGGGTACAGAATCGAAATTAAAAAAGTGTCAGTCGCTGTTGCCGACAGATATATCCCCTCACCCTATGGTTTGCGGAGATTTTCGGAATTACACATGGGTTTTATTATCCACTTTTTATATTCAGATTTAATGTTGATCAATTCCGTTATTCAATTGGCTTCAAATTAAATTTCAAGTTTATAAAATAGTGAACCTTTGTGGGGGAGGTACCAGAAAGAGAGGACCGACGGGTCCCACCTTCGCACTTCATCTAGGCTTGGTAATGATAATTGGTTGTGCATAGTTTAGTTCAAATCGGATATTCCATTCTCCTGATATTGAATTTATAAATATTGAAAATGTTGACCATTTGTGGGTAAGTACCAGAAGGAATGGACCAATGTGTCCCATTTTCGGATTTAATCTAGGCTTGGTAAAGATACAAACTTTTGTCATTACGAAGCCTAGATTAAGGTTTATGATATTATAACATATTTTTTTTGCACAATTTTGATTATTTTGTGGGGAGAGTACCAGAAGGAGAGGACCGATATTCGCCATCTTCGAAATTGAACTAAGTTTGGAAGAAATATTACCATATGCACAGTTTGGATGAAATCGGTTACTCCCTTCGAGAGTTATCGTGAGAACCAGCAAGCCAGACAGATGAACGGTCATTTGTAAATCGACTCCAAATTGTCTAAAAACGAATTTGGCCCAAAGATGCATGGGTCTAAAACCGATATTCAAATTAGACACATTTTTGCGATATCAAAGTGTATATACCCTCATTAAAAGTAGTAAAGACCATGAGTTGGTCATTTTAATGGCGGGCTATGTCATAGCCAAAGGCTACAATTTTGATCCCAACATTACGACATTTTATTTGAAGAAGGAGGTCTGGCCAAGAAGTAAATATGTCTGTTCTCATGATCTTCGGTCAATGTTTAGCGGGGCAAATAAACCCAGACTTTTGGGTTAAAAATTACAAAATTTGCATTCTATGGCATACACAGAATAATAAATTTAATGAACATTTTCATTAAATTTAAAATACAAGTAAAAAATCCTATAATTATGCGATCACTATTTTACTATTTTCTCCAAAAAATTAAAAACTCCATTACAATCAAAACTATGTTCATACTTTGCTCTACTTTATTTTCTGATCATTTTCCTTTCTCTCTCTCTCTTCCTCTGAACAAACACAAATGTATTCCTCCAAGAAAAAATACGCCAAAACCATTCATTGTTCGGCTGCGTTTGGTTTTGGTGTCATCCTCGGACTCTCCTCTCACTTCGTGGTTATTAGGTTTGCAACCGTTTGTTTGTCTACTATTTCTCTTGTTTACAACCGCGGTCTCTCCACTCACACCGGTGTGGCTGTTTTTACATTCCATTGTTTCTTTATTTCAGACACTGCTACCGACCTCTAAATTAGTGTTATAAAATTCGCATATGTATTTTCCAAATTATTTCGATATAAATGTCAAATATAATACTTCAAACAAGTATTGATACACACAACAAACTCAAACGAAAGTTCAATATTGTAAAGGATTGTTCTAAGTACACAATACAAGTAAATAAGAAAATCTTCACAAGACGTTTAAAAAATAAAAATAAAATCAAAAAAGACAAACAGTTTTTGTGTCATAGAAAACCACCACCAACAATCAAACTCATTTCAAAGTTGTATTTTTTGCTCTCTTTCTCCCTCTCTTTGACATAAAAACATTATTTTAAGATTTTTGAATTGCATTCATAAAATACAGAAATCCGGATATTGCCAACACTTTGTGAACACTTTTCGTATAATATATGAATTAATTCTTTTTCTGTAAATATATTTATTCCTGAGGGACATAGACTGGAGAAGTTGACAGAATATCACAAAAGGAGTGGTTGACATTTAATTGAATTGATTGATAGGGATCTACGATTCCGATATTATTTATTTGATGGACTCAGATTTTAAGCTGAAAAAATAACTAAACGAGGAGTAATTGTGTTATCTTAAATTGTTTTGTTTCGAATAAAGCCATACCAGCTCGAGCTGCTTTATGGGCGCCCAACGTTGAGCCAGCTTTATAAACATCCAACGTCGAGCTCCTTTAAACTGATATTAAGACAATGATCGGTTAATATTTAGTACGTCCACAGATAGTTAACTTTCAGTGATAGTTATGTAGTGTATCATATGATCGGCCACCTTTGATTATACTGCTCCGCTCACAGGTGTTTTTAATGGAGATTTTTAACTCAATGACAACCAATATTCGTGAAAAGAGCTACCCAAAATACCGAAAGATGAGGGATTAAAGTCGATCAATATTTATGGTTTTCGGTAGAAATGTTTGCTACCTAATGACAATCCAAAATACTAATTGTAGTCGCTTTGGATGAAATATAAAATTTGAAATTTAGAAATTTGAGTAAGACAGTAATATGGGTGCTAATCTAAGGCGTATATCAATATTGATCATTTTTGAGAATGAGGCGATCCAACATCCTGATGTACCAAATATTTACGGATACCGTTATATGCGGGTTATAACAAAACAATATTTATTGAATTAAGAACACTTCGCAGTTAATTTCGTCGACAAGAATGATTATAAAGATTGGTCATTCAAAGTGTTAAATCACAATTTATTTTCCTGAATTCTTCTGGCATTATTGTGCCAATAAATCAAAGATGGATATTTGTCGCACAATATCAGTGCAAAAATTTATTTAATATTTACTTTTTTAAAGCTTCACAACAAAATCGGCTTTATTATTTTGATGGACAGGGCCATTGGTAGACTTGCCCACTTGCATGTTTTGGTTTCTAGCTGCAATGGAATTATTGGCCTTGGGTTTCTTTTTATTGGCCGGTTTCTTATTAGCGGGTTTTTTATTAGCTGGTTTCTTATTAGCGGGTTTCTTATTAGCGGGTTTCTTATTAGCGGGTTTTTTATTGGCAGGCTTTTTAACAGGCTTCTTAGCTGGTTTCTTTGCTGGCTTTTTAGCGGGAGGTTTCTTATTAGGGGTTGCTGGTTTCTTTGTTGTTGCTCCAGCAGGTGGAGTATTACCGCCAGCAGGAGGAGTTCCATCAGCTGGTGGAGTACCATCAGCAGGAGGAGTACCATCAGCAGGTGGAGTACTCTCAGCTGGCGGAGTTCCATCAGCAGGAGGAGTACCATCAGCAGGAGGAGTACCATCAGTAGGAGGAGTACCATCAGCTGGAGGAGTACCATCGGCGGGTGGAGTTCCATCGGCGGGAGGAGTACCATCGGCAGGAGGAGTACCATCGGCAGGAGGAGTACCATCAGCAGGAGGAGTACCATCAGCAGGAGGGGTACCATCAGCAGGAGGAGTGCCATCAGCTGGTGTGGTATCCTCAGCAATTACTGCCACCACAAGAATGGCGAATAACAAGAATTTCAGTAGCTTCATATTGTAGTTTTCAATAACGTTCCAATGATTATGGCACACTTGCTGCGTTATTTATATGATTTTGAAGTGGAGTGCCTTTCATTAACCCTCTATTCAAAATGAAAGTGTAAATATTTAAATTTATGATTCTCAATCAATATCGCCTTATTTTTTAGGAAAATTAAATTATAAACATTTGTGTATATTCAAGTAAACCTAAATATACACTTGGGCCTAGAAAAATAGTAGTGACTAATAATTTAAATGCATATGAATTTGAAAGTACTTTTATAAAGAATAACTGCTATTTTTATTATCGTTTATGTGTCGTATTTTGAATTATGTTTGTTCTTCCCGTTCAATATTCGCAGTTCTGCTTTTTCTGCATAATGTTATATCAATTGTTTTAAAACAATAGAATTTTATACTAATAATTTCACGACATCTAAATGCCACGCGAATGAAAATGGTGTTATATAAAAAAGTGACTTCCGGCAAACCCGATTATTTAATATTAATCTTTAACCGTATCATTTTTCCCATAAGGAATGTATATCATCCACTAATATGAAATTAGTATTATGAATCTAACATTTTTTTTTGAGATGAAGTCTTCGAATCATTGCAATATTAGATCGAGACAGAATGTATTTAATATTACGATCTCATCATATATCCTTAATATAATGCTGGATGACACAAACAAATAGGAAGATTTTGGCATTATTATTCTCTCCAACATAAGGTGTAATATATATTTGATTTGTCTTCATCGGTCCATATTTTTGCTATAATATTTACCATTAATTTTTAGGGGATGAAATGGACCAAATACTTAATTTTTGTCGGTTTTTCTGGTCGCTCCAGTGGCGAAATTTTACATGGAGAAGGGGATCGGGCCATAGAATAAGCACGCCTGTTTTGATAAAGATTATTAAATATTTAGCGGGTCAAATAGACCCTGACTTTTGTATGAAAAAGTACAAACATTGTATTCTGGGGAGACCCGATAAGTTGATAATATATCCAAGATATAGTCGTATGTACTCGCATGTGGGAGTTACACTTAAATATTTACGGGTGCTTACGTATTCATATATTATTTAGTAACCCATTACCACACGAGAGGGCGGAAATATATCGCGGATCCCTTTGGAACAAATATCACGAAATATTGCCTGGGCTCGGAATAAACATCCGCAGAATGTTAGAATTCCGTGATAGTTGTGTAGGGTACCGTATGGTGGGCTCCATCCGACTATACTGCTCCGCTCACGGGTTTGATATTTTGGGGATTTTGTACAATTTCTTCACGTCAGATTGTATACAATTAAGTATTTTGAATAATAATTGAATAGAAATTTCCCTACTAAAAACTATAAACCCGAAAAGTGCTGTAATTATCTTTTTCGAACATAGGGACGAAACTTTCAGCATCTCTAGATTGTGGGCCACTGAATCCAAAAATTTGCTTTGTATAATTTTTTCTTGTCAGAATAATCGACAGGATCAATTTTTGGGCTGTGACCAGATGTTCACACTAGCACTGCTCGGGTGCAGGATTTTCAGATGATTTATTGATCGTCTTATAAGTGTGACCATATAATTACGCTAGCATAGCTCGAGTTAATATTGGTCCACGTTTTCAAATATGCCAAAACATGGACCTATACTTAAAATTTTCTGGAAAAGGCCAAGAATCTATCAAGAATCTGGTGAGCAAAATAACAGTCCCTTCGGTTTAAAAGTGAGTCTAGGATACTGTTGCCAGATTCCAATTCGCTGAAAGCGGTTTAAAAAGCTGGACATGAAAATCGCATATTTGTATTGAAATATTCATAGGTTTAAACATTACACTGTGCAACACAGTGTTGAAAAAATATGATACTGACATTCTTCATGGAAAATTTCTTTCGAAAAACATATCATTCTTTTGTCTCAAATTCTTCCGAATCGTTGTTATTTTAACCGTAAATAAAATACCACAAGACGATATTTTGTTATATCACAAAATATTCTGCAAAAATGTAGCTCACAATATTTCAGATACGATTCTTAAATACCTTGTTTTGACTGTGCTATCCTCCCAAATGGATTCTTTCTGTAAAAGTCTGCGCTAAAATCGAGTTCTTAAGACTACCTTAAAATGTCTGTTGAAAACACTTGAAGGCCTGTAGAAGACTTCCTAAGCGAAGGAAGTCCTAAGTCTGTAGAAGACTTCCTAAGCGAATTATTTCTCCAAAATTAGGTAATCTGTGCCCCAAAAGAGTTTCCAAGTGTGTCCAATCTATTAAGGACCTGTTAGGACCTGTTAGAACGAATGAGGAATATGGGCATAAAGAAACGAGATTCCAAGTGTAACCAATCTATAAATGACCTGTTAGGAAGCTTATCTTCACTGCTGCCTCCAAAATAACTTCTCTCTATATAGAAGTTCTGTAAAGGGCCTAATTCCTTGGCTCTTCAGTTCATACTTATGAAGACTATCTACCTATTGTGACTCACATTCACAATTAAACACCATAAGAAGCTTTTGAAAAACGAACAAGAACGAATGATGAATATGGGCATAAAGAAACGAGATCAGCGAACGGAACGATACCAGAAAAAATAACGAGATCATAAAGGGAAACTATATTAATAAAAAATTCGTTCCGGAACTGCCCAACTCCAATAGAACAAGGATTGTTCTATTTAGGTTGAACTTGTTGCTCATATCAATACCTATTTGACATATTATATTTGGCACTTATATCGAAATAATTTGGAAAAAAAACAAATGAGAATTTTATACCACCAGTTTAGATGTCGATGACAGTGTCTGAAATAAACAGTTGCGAAACTAATATCCACCAAGTGAAAGTAGCGACAGAGGAAGAATGGAATGAAATTATGAAAATATTCATTAAATTAGCTTTCTGTGTATTTTAATGTATTTTTTAAATTTTTATATGCAATTTTCAGCGACTAGTTTGCTATTATCGGCAAAAACTCTTCAGTTTATGAACGGTCGCAAAATTCTGGACAGAAAACATATCAAGGCGTCGATTGGTGCTATAATCATTAAAATAACCTCTGGCACTGCTTGGCACTAAGTTCTCGAGCGATTGTTTATTTGTTTGGGATCGAATTAAAATGCAACTATTTTAAGGCAACTTTCGGTGAAAAGTATAAGACGCCTCAAAGTCCCTCGCCATTTTATGAACTCCTTGGCTCTACAGTTCATACTTATAAAGACTATCTACCTATTGTGACTCACATTCACAATTAAACACCATAAGAAGCATTTGAAAAACGAACAAGAACGAATGATGAATATGGACATAAAAAAACGAGATCAGCGAACGGAACGATACCAGAAAAAAGAACGAGATCATAAAGGGAAACTATATTAATTAAAAATTCGTTCCGGAACTGCCCAACTCCAATAGAACAAGGATTGTTCTATTTAGGTTGAACTTGTTGCTCGTATCAATACCTATTTGATATATTATATTTGGCACTTATATCGAAATAATTTGGAAAAAACAAATGAGAATTTTATACCACCAGTTTAGATGTCGATGACTGTGTCTGAAATAAATAGTTGCGAAACTAATATCCACCAAGTGAAAGTAGCGACAGAGGAAGAATGGAATGAAATTATGAAAATATTCATTAAATTAGCTTTCTGAGTATTTTAATGTCTTTTTTAAATTTTTATATGCAATTTTCAGCGACTAGTTTGCTATTATCGGCAAAAACTCTTCAGTTTATGAACCGTCGCAAAATTCTGGACAGAGAACATAGGAAGGCGTCGACTGGTGCTATAATCATTAAAATAACCTCTGACACTGCTTGGCACTAAGTTCTCGAGCGATTGTTTATTTGTTTGGGATCGAATTAAAATGCAACTATTTTAAGGCAACTTTCGGTGAAAAGACGGCCATTTTTTAAGTAAGTTTTTTGGCAAATTAATTTATTATACATATTTTGTTAAATAAATCGTTATTAGCCGAAAGAAATTTCAAACATTTGCTTAAGATAGTGAAATGAGAAGTTCAATTTGATTGTTTAATGATATTTGCTTGGCCTTATTAAAAAAAAAAAAAAACTTGACACGCTTAACAAATAACAACGACCTTACTCGGTTTAAAGTGACCTTCAGTACCTAGTAAAAAAAAAAAAACTATAATTAAATAGAAATTAAAAAATAACAAACAAATATTTGACATTTCGTATTTTTAATTAAAAAGTGAACGACCTTCTTGGTTTCCTCTATGAAAATCGGTTTCTATATAAATATAGACGACGTATGTTAATCGACTTCATTCTAATTAAAATGAAGTATTTGAAAAGTTTAATACTTGCAATTTGTTTAGTTGGAGTTTTTGCAGAGGATATCCTCCCAACTGAAACACCAACGATCGACAATCCTGCAGCAAATAACGAAACCGTAACAAGTTTTCCAGCCGCAAATTTGTCTCTCTATAATACTCCTGGGAATACATTTCCAGTCATTTTTAATCTAGTGTTTAAATATCCAACAGATGTCGGACCAGCGATAGCTTCAGCGGGTGATACTAATCCTGTCGCAGCTTCTCCAGAAGAGAATGTTACGCTCAACACCCAAACGGAAATAGCTTTCACCGGTGTACCTGATATAACTACAACTAAGAAACCAACCACTAAGAAGCCGACGGTTAATAAACAGTCCCCTAAAAAGAAATTGTCTTCCACTAAGATAAAATTTAAAAGACCTGCTAATAAACCACTTGTGATTCAGAAACCCGGCAACAAAAATGAGTCAACAAATAAAAAAATTCCAGTCAGATATAAATTTAAAAATATAAGTAAACAAATTGCTAATTCTAGAAGAAATGTTAAGCAAGCGAATATATTAAATGTTACTATTAAAACGGCTTAAGTTATGTAATATCTAAGTAAATAAAATATTAAAAAAAATAAAATATAAGAATTTTCATACGCGTAATTTCTTTAAGGACAATTTTTAAGGCAGCTTTATAGGCGTAGATTCGTTA